GCTAACTCAGAACAGAAGCCACTCCTGAAGTTTACCCTTCAGCCAAAGATTAGATTTTTTTTAAAAAAAAGAAAAACAAAAAATTGCCGTCCAGTCAATTCCAACTCATAGCGACCCTACAGGACAGAGTAGACGTGCCCCATAGGGTTTCCAAGGAACGGCTGGTGGATTCGAACTGCTGACCTTTTGGTTAGCAGCCGAGCTCTTAACCACTGTGCCACCAGGGCTCCAAACATTAGATAAACCTATAAAACAAACAATAAAACACGTGAGGAACGTGCTTCTTAATTTCAATCAAGTATAGGAGACCAAATGGGCAACCCCTCCCCAAAAGGAAAGATGAGAAGGCAGGAAGGAACAGGAAAACTGGAGGAGTGGACACAGGGAACCCAGGGTGGAAAGAGAAAGGGGGAGAGTGCTGACACAATGTGGGGATTGCGACCAACGTCACAAAACAGTTTGTGTATAAATTTTTGAATGAGAAACTAATTTGAGCTGTAAACTTTCACCTAAAGCACAATAAGAATTTTTCAAAAAAGTTTTAAAGATAGGATTATATGTTTAAAAACACCAACAAAAAGATCTCTCCAGGCAGCCTTTGGAGCACTATGCACTGATGCTAGAATGCGCAGCTATTGTTTAATCAGCAGGATTCGTGTTCCCAATAATCTGTTTTTTGTGGAGTCTAGAACAGAGGGTGGAGCCATTTCACAACCTTACAGTCAGGCTATTTCTGGAAGTATGCCATCGAGGTATGCTTTGACATATTTGGATTTGTGAAATAAGGAGTTATGTTGGAATAGGGTGATGTATTCTGATTATTTGCAACATAATCAATTTCCATTATCCATGAGTTGAAAATAACATCAATTGTATCTTTTTTTTTTTTTTAATTCCTGAAGTCATTTGATTCAGCAGGCTTTAGAACACAAAAACCCACATATCCCCACACATATCACAATACATCTCCCAGTCCTATTTTGAAGACTCAGATTCTGAGCAAAGTAGAGCATAAGAGACCTTAGAAAACAGCAGATAATCTCAAAACAGGTAATTCACATGCAGACATTCAAGAATTTACTGTGATACCCTGAGAGTATGGCCTCAGACACCCTTTTAGCTCAGTAATGAAGTCACTCATGAGGTTCACCCTTCATCCAAAGATTAGACAGGCCCATAAAACAAAACGAGACTAAAGGGGCACACCAGCCCAGGGGCAAGGACTAGAAGGCAGGAAGGGACAGAAAAGCTGGTAATACAGAACCCAAGGTCGAGAAGGGAGAGTGATGACATGTCGTGGGGTTGTTAACCAGTGTCAAAACAATATGTGTACTAACTGTTTAATGAGAAGCTAGTTTGTTCTGTAAATCTTCATCTAAAGTACAATTAAAAAAAAAAAAAGAATTTACTGTGACAATCATGTCTGAAGACTTGGGATCAAAATCAATTTATTTCTCACATTCTTTGGCCTACCTAGCAATTTTATTTCTGTGCATCTATTCTAACAAAACACTACTATACATGCACAAGAATGTATGTGCAAGAATATTCATGAAGCAAATAACTGAAAATAAACTATAGGCCCATCTATAGGATGTATAAATTCTGGTACATTTACATAATGGGCTACCATGAAGCTGAAAAACAATGAGAGAGATCTCTATTTACTTCTCACAGAGCTCTCTAAAACAGCATTAAAAGAAAAAAGCACGTTGCAAAGCATTACATAAACTACAATCCTACTTAGGTATAAAAAAATACATATCTCTGTTTTTATACATGTATATACATGAGGGGTGGGAGAGGGAAATGGGTAGTTATTGCTTAAGGGGCACTGAGTTTGTGTTAACGGCGAGGGAAAATTTAGAAATGGATAGTGATGATTCTACAACATGGTGAATGTAATCAATGTCACTAAATTGTACACATAAAAATGGTTGAAATGGCAAATGTTTTGTTATATATATTTTACCACCATAAAAACAACAAACGTAAAAAAGAAAGAAACCCCAGAATGCATTCTGAATTGACTAATAAGCTTTTACATAACACTTATAGCTACTTTATGTTTCAGGACAGCAATTATTAACCTGCTGATACTCCCAGACTTTCTTCTCTACCTGCCCCCAAAGAGTTTTCTCCTCCTACTCCAGGAAGAGGCTGTGGCCTTGAAGGACCTATTCATCTGGGTTTCTGTGATGCAAAATTTTAAGTCTATGGGGAGACATAAAAGGAAAAGTGGCATGTGAACTATTGTTGGGGTTAGGGGCTTGGGGGAGTGTTTTAGCCTGGGTTCTCTAAAGGAGCAAAACCAGTGATGCATATATAGATATATAGAGAGAGATTTACTTCAAGGAGATGGCTCACACAATCGTAGAGGCTGGCAAGTCCCAAATCTGTGGATCAGGAAGCAAGCTGAAGGCTTCTTCTGACTCATGTGGTTGCAGGGTGTCTTAGTCTTCTAGTGCTGCTATAACAGAAATACCACAAGTGGATGGCTTTCACAAAGAGAAATTTATTTTCTTACAGTCTAGTAGCCTAGAAGTCCAAATTCAGGGTATCAGTTCCAGGGGAAGACTTTCTCTCTTTGTTGGCTCTGGAGGAATGTCCTAGTCATCATCAGTCTTCCCTCAGACTAGGAGCTTCTCTGTACAGGAACCTCCAGTGCAAAGGATGCACTCTGCTCCCGGTGCTTCTTTCTTGGTGGTATGAGGTCCCCAATTCTCTGCTTGCTTCCCTTTCCTTTTATCTCTTGTAAGGTAAAAGGTGGTGCAGGCCACACCCTAGGGAAACTCCCTTTACATTGGATCAGGGATGTCACCTGGGTAAGGGGGGTGTTACAATCCCGCCTTAATCCTCTTTAACATAAAATTACAATCACAAGATGGAGGCCAACCACACAATTCTGGGAATCATGGCCCAGCCAAATTGATACACACATTTTTTGGGGGACACAATTCAAACCATGACACAGGGGCTGACGAACTCAAAATCTGCAGGTCAGGCAGCAGGATGCCGGTTTGTGGGGTTGTGGGAGCTGGTAAATCTAAAACCAGCAGCAGGTCAGGTGGAAACGAGAAGAATGCAGGCTCAGTCGAGAGAGAGAGTGAGCTTTCCAGAATACCAATATATATTGGATGCAGACCACACCCCCAAGGAAGCTCCCCTTCCAACTGACTGGTTGCTCACATGAGATCACATAATGGGGGATGATTACATAATACTGAGAATCATGGCCTAGCCAAGTTGACACATAACATTAACCATCACAGGGAGTTTTGGAAACAAAGAGAAAGCAGTTGTGGTGATTAATGTTTACTTATGGGAGAGAAATGAAGATTTTAATAAGTACTGCCGTGAATCCTATGTCACACAAAGTGAGTCTGTGAGATCTTTTATAAAAAGAAGAAATAGGATTTGTCTGGCAGCTTGAGGCATGAAAGAAAGCAACAGGTCAGTGTAATGATGGTACTTTACTGAAGATCTGAAAAGTGAAGGGGGAAATATTCAGAGGATGCCCTCTCAGGGTTATACAGAACTGGAGAGGAGCCTTTCCAGTGACAGCTATGACCCCTGTATCCAGGACCATGCTTCGGTAAACACAACTCAGCTCTGCAAATCATCTTGTCCAAAGCAGGACTCTCAGTTATAATGATCTTGCTCAGTGATTGTCCAGCCTCTGCTTGATCATGTCTAGTGCAGAGGCCTTACTGCCTTGCATTTCTGCTTTCTCTGAACTGGAGCACCTCTGTGGCTCACAGATTCTTGATGGCCCCCAATGATCTCCACCCCCTGGTACTCGTGCCCTTTGTTCTCTTCTCCCATTGAGTGTGAATGAGACCTGTGATTTGCTTCTAACCAATAGAATATATCAAAGGTGATGTCACTTCCACAATTAGATTACATACGATTGTGACTTTCATCTTGCTAGCTGACTCTGTCTACTGCCTTCTCTGCTTGCAAGCTTTGATGAAGCAAGCAGTCATGTTTGGAGAGGCCCATGCAGCAAGGAACTGAGGGCAGCCTCTGGCTAATAGCCCAGAAGGAACTGAGGCCTTCAGTATAACAGCCCCAAATGAACTGACTCCTGCCAACAACTACATGAGCTTGGATATGGATCCTTCCCCATTCGAGCCTTCAGGTAAGACCCCAGCCCTGGCCGACACATGGATTGCAGCCTTGTGAGTGGCTCTGAAGCAGAGGACCCAGCTAACCTATGCCTAGACTCCTGATCTACAGAAAATGTGAGGTAATTAGTATGTGTTATTTTATGCTGCTAAATTGGTGGTAATTTGTTATGTAGCTGTTATGGATTGAATTGTTTCCCCAAAAAAATGTGTGTCAACTTGGTCAGGCCATGATTCCCAGTATTGTGTGATTGTCCACCATTTTGTCATCTGATGTGATTTTCCTATGTGTTGTAAATCCTACCTCTCTGATGCTAATGAGGCAGGATTAGAAGCAGTTATGTTAATGAGGCAGGACTCAATCTACAAGATTAGGTTGTATCTTGAGTCAGTCTCTTTCGAGATATAAAAGAGTAAAGCAAACAGAGAGACAGAGGGACCCCCTACCACCAAGAAATAAGAGTCACGAGCAGAGTGTGTCCTTTGGACCCAGGGTCCCTGTGCTGAGAAGCTCCTAGACCAGGGGAAGATTGATGACAAAGACCAGAACTGACAGAGAGAGAAAGCCTTCCCCTAGAGCTGGCACCCTAAATTTGGATTTCTAGCTTCCTGAACTGTGAGAGAATAAACTTCTGTTTGTTAAAGCCATGCACTTGTGGTACTTCTGTTATAGCAGCTATAAGTAGCTATAGGTAACTGATACAACCTCCCACATCTTTTACTGGGTTATACTCCATGGGGTCATTTAAAACCTACTCTCATTCCTCTTCCCTATGACAGCCCTTTCCTTTCTTAAAGAAAGGTATCCTGCTTTCTCTTTACCATCATAAATGTCAAGTTCTTTTTCTGTCTTAGTTGCTTTCTTCTCACATCCTCCAGGAAGCCTCAAGTAGGAACAGCAGGCAGGGTGGGAGGAAGTGGAGGTGAGCAGGGTGTGGAAGCTGAAAATCATTTGGAAGAAGTGTCTTCCAGGCCTGTGCAGTGCTGAGCTCTCAGGCTGTGAAATATAACAGTGATGAATAAGCTTTGCATGGCCCCTGCTGAGTTTTCCCCCTCCAGCCTTCTGGATGGCCCACCTCACACTCCAAGTGCAAACACCATTGATTCTCTACAGCCCAGAAGTGACTCTCCCTTCTCCCACTTCCCCGAGCAAACACACACCATTAGCCAGTGTAGAAGCAACTCTCCTGTCACTTCAGACCCCGTGGACTCACCTTTAAGAACTGAGGAATTAATAGACTCTCGGCCAGGCTTTCCAGTGCCTGCAAAGAAAGGGAAGCTGGTCAGAGCCCACAGGAGGAGGTGACCCTTAAAGAGGTATGGAAGTCGATATAATGGAGCAGTTATCTTGGGCTCAGCAATCAAACTGTTTCCTTAGAGTCAGGGCTCAGCCAACTGAAAGTCACTTAACCTCTCTGTGGCCTCAGTTTTCTTGTCTGTAAAGTGGGATCGAGCACTGTCTCTGTCTCTTATGACTTTTGTGAGGTTTAAGTGATTTCATTCATGTAAAGCCCTTAGCATAGTGTCTGATACTTTAATTAAGGCAGAATCCTGGAAAGGGAGGGGTCCCTACCCATTTAGCTCCTGTTTCCTTAGTCCAAGTATGACGAGGACCAGTTCTTCCCCAACACTCATCATCCTGACTGTCCTCTCACCTGTGTGTAGATGGAGGACTGCTCTGTCCCTAACAGCCCACTTAGGGAGTGGGGAACAACTAGTAAAAGGCCAGAGTGGAGCCAAATGTGAGGAAGTCTTAGAGCAACACACACAATCACACACACACAGCCATACATGCTTATACACACATGCACATAAAACACCTATATACACTTATATACACACGTACACACATATACACAAACCCACACGCATACACATACAAACACCCATACATGTCTATATATGCACATGTACACAAGACAGTCACAAACACGCATTACACACTCACTCCAGATTTGCCAACTAAGTTTGGGGAACTGGTTTCCTTCCAATTAATCTCTTATAAGAAATTTAGGAACCTGAAGAGGAAGAACCTGGGAATTTTTTTAAAAGACCCACTTCCCAGGCATTCTCGTATTTCTGGATCTCACGTGGCCCTGCTCCTGAACCCTCAGAAAGGAACAGGGGACATCTGACCTTAAATCAAGATCCTGGAGTCCAGAGCCACAAGGATGACCATGCCTGTGGTGTTGGGGCCCCTGGGAGTCCAGCAGGTCTCCCATCTCCCATCTCGTCTGCAGCTAAGGGTGTCTCAGCTGGCCAGGGAGTCCCTCCTGGGCTTTGCCTGACAACAGGAGTCTCCAAATTGGCTCCAGAAGTAACAGGGGCAGGAATTGCAATTCAATCCCTTGGGCTGAGACACCCTCAGGTCAGAATGAGGAAACCCAGAACCTACTCCCCTACCTGAGCTCTTGTTCCTCCAGAGGGCAAATCCAGCAACCGCAGCTCCCATGATCACAACTGTAAGGACCACAGCTCCAAGACCCAGGCTAGGAAATTGTTTCTTGACTGGGATGGTGGGCTGAAAAGGCGGCTCTGAGAAAGGAAGGAAAAGTGAGTGACACTGACCCGCAGAAGTGACCTCTGCTACTCCTGGAGGTGCCCATAAGGGCCCCTGCTTTCTCTGAGAAGAGACTCCACCCTCGTCCATCTCCTTACCCCATGTCAGGATGAAGGGCTCAGATAGCCCCTCGTGCTGCACATGGCACGTGTATCTCTGCTCCTCTCCAGAGGGCACCACCACAGCCGCCCACTTCTGGAAGGTCCCATCCCCCGAAGGCCTGGTCTCCACAAGCTCTGTGTTCTGGGTCTGGTCCTCCCCATCCCGCTGCCAGGTCAGTGTGATCTCCGCCGGGTAGAAGCCCAGGGCCCAGCACCTCAGAGCAACCTTTCCATCAGGGCTGGGGTGATGAGTCACGTGTGTTCTGGGAGGCTCTGTGGTAGACAACGCAGCCAGGGTTCAAGTAAAGCTTGTTAAGTAGCATCTACTCCAAAGACCAGGATGCCTTGAACTCCTGGTAGTTTGGCTGGGGAGATGACTGCCAGCAAGGGCAAGGCAGGGAGCACCTCCAGGCAGGGCGTAGAGGGAACTGAGCACTAATCAGAGCAGGGATCCTAGAAAAGGCCCTTGGAGCTCAGTCCAAATATTCTTCTCCAGAGTAAGGGCTTCTTCACAGACCTCCACCCTCTTATCAAGCCATTGGTCAATTTTTCCAGATAAATCTTTGTGCGTACTCACAGCTGCCCTATCTCTAGTGGGAAAGGGCCAACCAAAAACCAAACCCATTGCTGTCGAGTCAATTCTGACTCATGGTGACCCCATGTGTTACAGAGTAGAACTGCTCCACAGGATTTTCCTGGCTGTGACCTTTATGGAAGCAGATGGCCAGGCCTTTCTTCCATGGCACCACTGGGTGGGTTCGAACAGCCAACACCAATTAGTAGTTGAGCGCTTTGATTTATGAACCACCCAGGTTCCTAGGGAAAGGGCCAGACATATGAAAAACCTCCAAGTGCTGAGGAAAAAGCCTAGTGGCCTTCTGAGAAAGTTTTCCTCCAGGGAGGGCCTAAGAAGGGTGTGTCAATAGCACTCCCCAGGAGACTCAAGATGGGAGGTGCCCCAAATCCACATCTCTTGCTTGTGAAGCCATCCTCAGCATGTTGGCCCCATCCATCCTGCAGTAGATATCCTGCATCCCTATGCTGGATTAGCTCTGGGAGAGTGGCGCCACCCCCCCCACCCTTTGGAGAGAGAACTGGCCCAAGCTAGGGTTTGGGTGAGCTCTGGGTGGGTGGGGTGTTGGAGGTCATTACCAGTGCGGGTCAGCCTCTCCCGTCCACACTCCAAGTATCTCTGCAGCCACCAGATGCATTCCTTCTCCAAGTAGGCTTTATCTCTCTTTATGGAGTTCCCACTGGCCTCCCACTTTTGCTTGGTGTAGCGGGCGATAAATGAGACAGCTGTGTACTGCAGAAGGTCCATGTCCAAGCTCAAGTAGTCATTACCGTCGTAGCCATACTGCCAGTGCCCCATGGTCCCACCGTCGTCCCGGAGCTCACAGCCATAGGTGAACTGGAGGGTGTGGGGGCCTACCCACCCCACCCAGGACCAGGCAGTGTCAGTAAAGACAGGGTGCACCCTCAGCGCTTCCCCATCAGTGGTCCCTGTTTTCCCCATCCCACCCCACCCCATCACAGCTCTGGTTTCTCGTTAGGTGACATTTGCATTCTAAACAAATTAGTTGGGTGCCCTGATTCTGATCTCCTTTCCTTGCTGTCAGCTCTGCAGTGGGGAGTGGTCTGCCCTTGGTTCCAGGGCTTACTGTAAAGCACTGGATGGGGAGTTACAGACTTGGGCTTTGCCATGAACTGTGTCATCTTGAGCAAGTTATTCAGCCTCCATGTTTTTTGTTTATTTTGTGTAAGTAGAATTGTTAGACTATGTCTCCACAGGCCTCCTTCCATGCCAGCAGCCTCAGATTCTAAGTGCAAATTCCTGAAGACAGAATCCTAGTGCACGGCATGAACAATGAGGGCACGCAAAGCACAATACAGTTTTCCTCGAGCTACTAGAGAATGCAGACAGCTTCATATTAACAAGCACCACACTTCTGCTTAAAAATTCTCTAATGAATTTCAAAGTCAAATACAAATAGCTCTGGGATTGTCCCAGCCTGGATTAATCACCTCTCTTCTGGGTTCCCACAGTCTATTGGCTCAAGTTCTTAATCCAACATTTACACACAGTACCAAACTTTACTGTGTATTGATTGTCTCTCTCCTCTTACACTGTGAGCCCTTTGAAAAAGGGACTGTGTGTCATTTGTCTTGAGATCTTCAGTGTCTATCATGGTACCTGTAACATAACAATCTGGCAAACCTTTGTTGAATACGTTCTCCAAAAAGGATCAACTGGTACAAAGTTGAGCGGCCACACTATTTAGTTTTAATAATATCTCTACCTGATTTATGCCTTAATTTGGCACTCAGTGCCCTTCACAAACTTGTTCCAACAGTGCCTAGCACTTGGGAGACCTTTGATAAAGACTATTAACTTACTATCTGCCCCCTGAACTCACTGTGCCCGACTGAACTCCACACCTTGCAGCACCCTAACTCCTGCCTCCTTGGAACATCTTTCTTTTTTTCTCCTCTGTTAACCCAAACCATATGCGTTTCATATTGTATCAAGTTCCACCTCATTTATGAAATTCTCCCTGACCACTGAGGTCTTTCCTCTATGAACTTCTATAAGCTATTTTCTCTGCTTCTCATTTGGCATTTAAGAAAGTTCTGGTCTTTGATGTCTCTTGGTATGCTTCAAAGGGTCATAGGGGCAGTAAACTTTCCCATATAGATTGTAAGCTCCTCGAGGGTAAACACTAGGTCTTATGCTTTTCTGGTTCCCCACCCCCAGCACCCAAAAGTTGTACACTAGGCATATATCTCTGACTAATAAGACTGCTGAATATTGAATGAACTCATGTCTAACAGACCTACTCCTCTTTGTGACCTCATTGGTGGAACCTTCTTTCTCAAGTGATAGATGTGCAAACACTCTCTGTCCCCAGCCTGACTTTATGGGAAATACTTTTCAAGAGGGCCTCCCGCCCCAGGAGGTGGGGTGTGAGTGAGGACTGCTTCCTACTGCTCTCTCACAGGACTTACCTGCTGACTTTTCTGTATTCTCTTTCTTCAGGCTGTGCTCCCAGGTTTGGTTGTAGTATTTCTGCACATTTCTCAGATTTAAGTGGAAAATCTTCATCCGACTTGTGAAGATCTTGGTCTCATCATCAAAGTAATCTAAATCCTCCTTCAACCAAGGAGCACAAGGCTTTGCCTTCATCTCCACACTGTCATAGTGGATGAAGAGTTGGTCATCCACAAAGCCAGAGGCAGTAAATGAAGGCACTCCTGGGCCTGGCTCAGACACAGCCGTGTAGAAATACTGCAGAGAGTGCGATCCTGAGGTGGGAGCGAGAGACAGGGGACTCAGAGTAAGCTAACAGTATTTATTGAATGAGGACCCAATTCCCAGCGTGAAGGGAATGATTGTATATGCCTGTGTGTGTATGTGTGTGTGTATGTGTGTGTGTGTGTGTGTGTGTCTGTAAAATCGGAGAGGCAGGGCATACCTGATAAAACAGTAGGAAGACAGTTGTGGAACAACTCACCAGCACAAGTGAATTCAAATCCCACAGAGTATGTATTGAAAGAATTCAGGAAACAGGAAAGAAATGTTAGTATAGCACATCAATAAGAAAGGGTTCCATGAAGAAGTTGTTCTTGAACAGGGCTTGAAGAAGTGGTCGGATCTGGAGTAGTGGAAGAGTTTAAGAGTATTCTTTCTCATGGCTTCCATTGAGGTGTAGGAGCCTGGAGGTAGGACTCTTCCCCCAGGTCTCCTGCTCTCATGTTGTAGCATCTCAACCCCTGACCAATCTCTCACTCTCCCTCCTGGTATCGCATTCCACCAAATCACCTTTGGTGTTACTGTGGAAGACGCACTGGCCTCAGAGTTCCATCACCACCACAACCCTGGGGAAGCCACTTCCCTGTGTGGGTGTCAGCTTCTTATCTCTAGAACAAAGCTAGTGGGCAAGAAGGCCCAGGGCCCTCCCAGTTCTAATAGTCCATAATTACTTCTAGAGCTTTGAAAATCCCCCTAGTGATTCCATGAGATGAGTAAGTAGGAGGTGATGCAGGCAGAGGGGAAGGAGCGCCCAGATAGAAAGGACAGCCTGTAGATCTTGTCCCAGCCACACTGACCTTTGTTCTGCTCCTAAGACATGTTCTTTCCACCCCAGAACTTTTGATCCCTTATTGTCCCCTCATCTGGAATGTTCTTACCTCACCTATCAGCCCCAAACTTTGGTCTTGTCCCCTTCAAGTCTCTGTTGAAATGTTATTTCCTAAGGGATGCTTTGCCTCTAGGAAACTAATCCAGACTTGTGTGCCTCCACAGCAAATGAGCATCACATAATTAGTTATTTACTGTTGGCTGGCCAGTAAATTCCATGAAAACAGCAAGTTTTCTTTCTTGTTGATAAGTGTATTTTTAGTGCCTATAACAGTACCTTTCACAAATAAGGATATATCTCAGGTCCCTGGGTGGCACAAATGATTTGCACTTGGCTGGTAAATAAAAGGTTGGTGATTTGAACCTACCCAGTGGCACCTCGAAAGAAAGGCCTGGCAATCTGCTTCTATAAAGATTACAGCCAAGAAAACCTTATGAAGCAGTTCTACTCTGTAACACATGGAGTTGCTTGCTTTACTTAACTATTCTAGTACTTTTTTCCAATTATTCACTAGTATATATAATACCTTAATAAATATTCTTGTACTTATTTCTTTGCACACTAGAGGGAGTGTTTCTACATATGCCTAATTTAAGTGGAAATGATGAATCAAAGGTCATGAACATTTTGAATTTGAATAGGTATTACCAAATTGCTCCCCAAAAAGGTCATTTACACCCACATCAACAGGAAAGATTATATATGTATAGCAAAAGAGAACCATTGCCGTGGAGTTGATTCTGACTCATAACGACCCTATAGGACAGAGTAGAACTACTCCATAGGGCTTCCAAGGATTGGCTGGTGGGTTCGAACTGTCGACCTTTGGGTTAGCAGCCAGGCTCTTAACTACTGTGCCACCAGGGCTCCTATATATAGAGAGAGAGTTTTAATGCACTTTTTTGTGATAGGCGAGGTTAAAAATATTTTTATGAGTTTATTGGTCAATTGAATTTTTTATTCTGTAAATTACTTATTCATATTATCTATTTGCTTTTAGCAGGGTTGTTTACTTTTTTTTCCCCTTTTTTTAATTGTAGTTGAGATGCAGACTTACAGAGAAAATTAATTTCTCATTAAACGATTAATACGTTTACTGTTTTGTGACATTGGTTGCCAACCGTACAACGTCAACATTCATTCTCCCTTTCTCGACCTTGGGTTCCCCATTACCAGCTTTCCTGTCCCTTCCTGCCTTCTTGTCCTTGCCCCTGGGCTGGTGTGGCCATTTAATCTTGTTTTGTTTTATAGGTTTGTCTAATCTTTGGCCGAAGGGTGAACCTAAGGAGTGACTACAGTAGTGAGTTAAAAAGGTGTCTGGAGGCCATACTTTTGGGGTTTGTCCAGTCTCTGTCAGACCAGGAAGTCTGGCCTTTTTTTGTGAGTTAGAATTTTGTTCTACATTTTTCTCCAGCTCTGTCCGGAACCCTCTATTAAGATCCCTGTCAGAGCAGTTGGTGGTGGTGGTTGGGCACCATCTAGTTCTTTCTTTAATTGATTTGTAGTTCTGAATGTAGGCTGGGTATTCAAACTTTGCTGTCTATGTTGATGCCGTTTCCATTTTTTCCCTTTGCTTCCAAACTATTTTGACACTTTCCTTCCATCTCTTCTTTGCATTTCCATGGCACATTCTCCAACACAGACCCCTGAAAGCAGGAGAAACGTAGCTTCCCAAGCTTTCCACTTCTCTCCTAGGCTTGGACTTCTCCTTTGATGAACAAGTTTCTCTCACCACAAACTGACTCTGCTCACACCCAGCTCTGGATCCCATAGATAAGCCCCTGCTGAGCCAAGTCAAGTCAAGAATCTTTCCTGAGGCACGCAAACCAGAGGTCGCTGCCCACTACGACCCCGGACCTCAATGTGGTTACTCGACAGAGAAGCAGCTAGATCTTCAGAGACACTGGATTCCATGGTATGACTGAGAGAAAAAACAAACAAAAAACCAAGGGCACAAGACAGATGCTAATGACAAACTCCCCTTAGCTCTCCATTCTCCCTAAGGCTGATTCCAGCAGCCAGGTCATGGGCAACTTGGTCCAGTCACTCAGATAAGAAATGTACAATTGTGGAAATGTTCACACAGTCCTCCCATTCAACTCCCTCACTAGAGAGGTGAGAAAACGGAGGCTTAGCAGCAAAGCTTTAATTGAAACCCGTCTCTCTTGCTCACAAATAGGTAAAACTCAAAAAAGAGAAGTGTGATCAGTGTTGCTCATCCACTTCTCAGGGAAAACCCCACAAAACTCTCCTGCTGCCAGATATGAATGTCATGAATTTGTTTCATTTTCTATGAGTCTGGCTGGCAGGGGAACATTTCAGTCAGCAACTGAGCTGTGATCCTGGCCTACCATCTGCCTTTCCTGCTGTACTTTCAGACTCAAGTTCAACAACAGCTGCTGCACAACCATGCTAGTAGACAGTGAGGCTTGAGTAAATGGGTTCTCATTAGTTTTCATAAAAGAGGATAGAAATATAGTAGCTGGAAGGAAAAAAAAACCTTTTATATAATTTGGAGTGAGAGTTTCCCAAATGAGTCATGTTTTAATGCATACATCAAGGATGCATTTTGTTCACTTGAATGTATGAGTTTGTGTGTGTGTGTGTGTGTGTGTGTGTTAATCTCTTCCAGCTGTAACAATCATTAAAACCAAGGATGATCAAAATGAACTCCACTTAGAACCAGACCATCAAATGGCTGTATCACAAACTGTTAGAACATAATTTTCAAAATAAGCGTGTTCAGTTACATTGCTTTCACTTGAACATATTACAATTAATAATTTTGTAAGGGTAAAAATATTTTATCTTTATCCCATCTTTTTTAATTTCCATTTTTAAAAATGTTTTATAAGGTACATAATGTATTATTAGTACACTAGAACATGTATATACTTTAAACATAAATAAATAAAGAGTTTAAATGGTAAGGATGCATGTTTTTAAAACCTTGGATACCATCGATTCCCAGATACCTAGCTTCTGACTGAGGCTTCACTTTTCCAAATATTCAACAAATCTCCCCTTTTCTAAAAAGACGAATCAACAAACACAAACAAAAAAACAAACTCGTTGCCCTGCAGTGGATTCCTAGTCATGGCGATCCCATATGTTACAGAGTAGAACTGCTCCACAGGGTTTCCTTGGCTGTAATCTTTACCTAAGGAGATCGCCAGGCCTTTATTCAGTGGTGCCACTAGGTGGGTCCCAACCTTCAACCTTTAGGTTAGTAAACCAAAAAACCAAACCCGTTGCTGTGGCGTCGATTTCAACTCATAGTCAGACCCTATAGGACAGAGTAGAATTACCCCGTAGAGTTTCCAAGGAGCGGCTGGTGAATTTGAACTGCTGACCTTTTTGGTTAGCAGCCGAGCTCCTAACCACTGTGCCACCAGGGCTCCATTAGTGGAGCACAAACATTTGCGCCACCCAGGGACCTTCTTCCTTTTGCTAAGTGGCTCTTAAAGGTCACCAAGAGCCTCTACTACAAGCAGAGCAGGCTGCAGAAATCAGGACTCCTGGTCACGTTCACAGTAGATCCGCCAGTTCCCTTATGGTCTATACCTTAAGCCCTTTTCTTTCTTTTTTTTTTTTTTTTTTGCCGGAGGCTGCCCCCTGGTGAGCAGAGGCCAGTGACTGCCCCTGCTAAGACTGTAAAGTTGTCGCTGAGCCTCAAGATTCCAGTTTGGAGACCTTCTCTCCCTTCCCCCTCCCCCGGGCTTCTCCGGCTATTCTTCCCCACCACCACGCCTCCCAGGGCCCCCACTCACGGGCTCGGGCCTCTTGCAGCAAGCTCAGGGACACTTGAACGAGAAGAGCCCACACCATCCCGTCGGATGTTACTATTGGACCAACACTCCCTGGGCACCCAAAGATCGGTCAAACACATCCAGCACAGCCTGACTCTCAGACCTGCTGTTACAAACAGAACGGTGGGAGCGGCTTTTGAAGAATAGAAACCAACGCTTAGCTTGAAAGGGCTGAGATGTGAAACCGAAAGGCAGCGCAGCACTCTGCAAATGTCCGGGGGAGACTAGTTGGAGTTGGTTCCATGAAAACATGAAAACGCTACTTGTCCCGTATCCCAGCGCCACACCGAGTCAGCCAGCAGCTAGGGATAGTCCAGACAACACACATATTTTAAGGGATTTTTTTTTTTTTACCCTGAGCGGGTCTCTCAGCCTCAGAGTCTGGGTTTCTTCCTTCCCCAAATGCACGTAATGTTTGATAAAGAAATTCAGTAGACCAGTAAGACTGGCAGGATTCTGGAGCCTGACTCCTTACATAAACAAAATTTATCAAGGGCTAATTAGGGTTGTCAGTTCAGCTAAACTCACAACACCAAGCTCCCCGACTCAAAGTTAAGCACCCAGTTCCAACCAAGCAATTTCAAAGCTGCTTCTGTTCTGCGTTTGTTCTGTAAAAGACTTTCTCCACTGTTTTTCTTTGGACTTTCCAGCCTCTTTCAGTTTCGGTGCTACCTGAATTCAGGCCGCTGTTGTGTTCGAAAAAACTAAAAAACTTATTTTCGATTTGATTTTTCTTTTTATTTATTGTACTTTAGGTGAAGGTTTACAGAACAAATAGTTTCTCATTAAACAGTCAGTACACATATTGTTTTATGACATTGGTTAACAATTGATTTTTCTTTTAACTTGATAAAGCCATACATGAAAAACCTTGGAGCTGCTAAAAGGATGATTGCGTTAGCTGCCGTCCAGTTACCTCCGACTCATGACGACATTCACCCCAATACATCATCCCAAAAGTCTTAAATTAACTCCAAGTCCAAAATATCTTCTGAATCATCTAACAACCTTGTCCTGCACCATCCCCATAACCCATTCCGGATCAGACTGTTGCCATCCAAAGTTTTGACTGGCTGATTTTCAGAAGCAGATCTCCAGGCCTTTCTTCCTAATCTGTCTTAGTCTGGAAGCTCTGCTGAAACCTGTTCAGTATCATAGCAACACACAATCCTCCACTGACAGACAGGTGGCAAGGTGGGGGATAGCTGCGCCCTTGGCTGGGAATCCAGCCCATTCTCCCTCACAGAAGGTGAGAATTCTACCAGTGAACCACCACTGTCCCCATAAGGATGATTAGCAACCTGGAAAAATGTAACCAAACATGTTAACGGGGGGAAAATGTATTATTAAAACTGAGATAGTAGCTATGTTGGAAAACGTTACATATGTAGGAAAAGAAGACTGGTAAATTCAAATTATAAGGCTGTTTTGCTCTTCCGAATATGTCGATTTTTCCCCCTAGCCATGCTGTCTCATTTCCTCCTGCTTTGGGGAAATTAGTGAAGAAAAAAGCAGAAGGCGGCCCTCTGGAGAATCCGGGTCATAGGCGCAGAGTTCCCAGTTATCTTTTGAGGGGTAAAATGTATTTTCATTTATAGAGGGCCTACTTTATGCAAATTTCAGGACCAGGAAATGGTTCCTTCCTGCCTCAAGAATTTCAAAGACTTGGGGTGGGAGAGTTTGCGCAGAGATGATACGCAAGTGGCCAGTACCATGAAGAAAGTCAGGGGGGTCCAGGGGAGTGGCCCTATTGAGACTGAGGCCGAGGTGGTATGGGTGGCAGGGGTGCTTTCTGAAGAGAAAAACCTGAGCTGAGATGTTTCGTTTGAGCAGACAAATTGGCTCTAGAGGCTAGCTGGGGTGAGGCGGCCTTCTTGGTAAAGGAACAGAATGTGAGAAGGCACGAAATTTTTCTTCCTTTGCTCTTGGGTTATTCACAAGGCTCACAGTTAAATTGAGCTCTCACTCTGTGTCAGGCACTGTTCTAAGAGCTTCGCATGCATAAATTCATTTATAAAGAGAAGAGAGAATTTGGGGAGAATGGGATTTTCACAGAAAGAATCCCGGGCTTCATATCCAGCGACTTGACTTCTTCTCTTTCCTCTGCTATTACAACCTGTTTGACTCCCCAAGGCAAAGTTTCTTCAGCAAAATAAACAAAACTCTCATTAGCCGAACAGCTTTTAAAAGAAAGAAGTTAATGTGCACAGAGCCCTACCAGGTGCTATATGGCCTCACATGTCATTTCATCCAATCTAAGAATACCCTGGATAAAGGAGCAGTGTCCCAATGTTATAGAGAAAATTGAGGCCCAGAAAATGAAAATGATGTTTCCCAGGTGACAAAGGTCAAGTTAGGAGGGCAGCAGGGACCAGAAGTCAAGACTTCTCACCCTTTCGTCTTAGTCTCTCTGATCTCTCTGACCCTGCTTCCCCTAGATCACCATGCCCGCATTCCACCCTATCCCAAGGGCTATGCTGTACTCACTGGCAAGTATGTCCTCAGGGACTCCCTGGAACAGCAACAGGAGAAGAGTTCTCACTCCAATTCTCAGAAACAAGGCCATTCAGGGGATCTGTGAACGGACAACTTGTAGGTGAAGACAGAGATGGAGAAGGAACAAAGTTCAGGCAGGCACTCAGCAGAAAGCAGAACAATGAGGCTAACGGAACATTTCCTGCTGTTTCCTGTTTTGATATTGCAGCTTGGCAATAAGTTCTAAAATTGGAAAGTGAGTCTTCCAACTTTGTTCTTTTCAAGACTGTTTTGACTATTCTGGGTCCCTTGCATTTTCATATGAATTTTAGTATCAGCTTGTCAATTTCTGCAAAGTCAGCTGGGATTTGTATAGGGACTGTGAGAGTCTGTAGGCCAGTTTGGGGAGTGTTATAGATTGAATCCACCATGAGTCTGTCAGTTTGTCATACTCTGGTGGCTTGTGTGTTGCTGTGATGCTGGAAGCTATGCCACCAGTATGTCAAATACCAGCAGGGTCACCCTTGGTAGACAGGTTTCAGCGGAGCTTCCAGACTAAGACAGACTAGGAAGAAGGATCTGGCAGTCTACTTCTGAAAAAACCGGCCAGTGAAAACCTTATGAATAGCAGCAGAACATTGTCTTGTGTAGTGCTGGAGATGAACCCCACAGGTTGGAAGGCACTCAAAATACGTCTAGGGAAAAGCTGCCTCCTCATGGAGCATCTTTTGATCATTGATGAATTGAGTAGTCTCTTTCAGATAGACATGCTTGCTACTATTGTTTACTCTAGGCTGCTTGAATTGTCAAGCATTTAAGACCTCGGACGCAACACCACAATTGTGACCGAGCACCACTGAGTGTTTTTCTTTTACGTTAACATAGTGGAGTTCTTCTCTTTAGGCCGGGCTCACCTCATGTCGCTTACAAAGGAGTAACTCGTCTCCTGCAAACTTTTCCCTCACTTCACCAAGCTTTAGAGGGAGGCACTCTGGTGGGCCTCAAAGGGGGAGGGAAAGAGGTGACAGTATCAGGTACAATGGATCAGAGACATAAAGGGCTAACTTATTCTTTCAGTCCCTCAAAGGGGTTTCATCAAGGTCCTCACTGACCTGGATGGTTTCTATATACGTATCTTTTTCATGATGGGCATCACGTTAGTTCTTAAAGTCAAAATGTGAGTTGTTATTTTTATGCAACATTTAACAGTGTATATTATGATGACAATAACAATTAAAATCATAATTCTAGTGGACAAAATTATCTCTAAAAATAGTGTTTATAAAAAGAAATGTGGGTTTACAAGGAAAAACCAAAATGTCAAAACGGGATTTATGCTAAAGTTGCAATTTGATAATGGTGAAAAGGAAGGTTTGATAACAAAAAGGACACCTCAAGAATTTTAACAACTCACATCTGAAATAACCAATTAATCTAGAAATTTTAAGCAACAGGTATAACTGTTATCATGGAACATAAGACAAATAAGGTAGGTGATCTGTTCAATTAACAATAAGCAAATGCACTAGGCAGCAGTAACTTCTATCATTTACACAGGAAAAACATTATATCAAAACGTGGAATAACTTGAAGCTTATTGAGTAAAGCAATTAAAAACAATATAGTGAACAAAATAGAAAAGCAAAGAAATTAATATAAGTAAACTTCATCTATGAGTTCAATTCAAATATTTTTTTAGCTTACTCAGTCCCATGTAGCTAATTTTGGTTCCATGTTATTCTATTATACTTTGGATCCCTCTTCTGACACGAAAATATTGTAGAGAAAAACTTGAACACTGTTTTAAATAAAACAGAGAGGTTTATTAAGGGTTTAAAACAATTGCAAATGAAGAACTACATAGCCCATTGAAAATGGAACCAGGTAATCCTGGGGCAGTTTCATTATACAAGTATTCTTATGGGGTAAAAAGAACAAAATCATAGGGAGGGCAATTACAGGAAAATCAATGAATATTGTAATAATCACACTGATTGGTTACTGATTATTTATACTGTAGCTGGTGATTACAGATAGTTTTACAGGATGCTTAGATCATGGTCACAAGATGTATTTTCCTTGTCTATCTTGCAAAAATCTTGTTGGCAACAGCACCCAGCTGCACTTCCTAAGTACCTATATTTTGAGCGGTGCAGATGGTCACTTGGTCAAGACCCCTCAGGGCATATGATTTCACATCCTGGTTTTGGCTACCAAGGAAAAACATATTTTTCTCAAAAACATAACTATTAGTCTAGAAATCCAGATTAACATTAGATAGCATCGTCAGCATATTATGCCTCTTTCTCTCTGACTGCACTGAAAGTTGTCTTTTCCTGAGATAAAGCTTAGGTTATTGATTTGAGGTATGTCTTCTTTTTTAATGTTGACATTTATAGCTATGAATTTCCCTCTAGGTACTGACTTAGCGGTATTCCATATATTTTTGTATGTTATGTTTTTATTTTCATTCAACTTAAAATACATTCTAATGTTCTTTGTAATTTCTTCTTTGATCTAGTGGTTATTTAGACATGTGTCATCTAATTTCCAATTATGTATGGATTTTCCAAATTTCTTTCTGTTGTTGACTTCTTATTTAATTTCATTGTGGTTGGAGAATACACTTTGTATGATTTCACATATTTTAAAACTACTGAGACTTTTTTTAATTACGTAACTTATGGGCTGTCCTGGAGAATGTTTCATGTGTGCTTGAGAAGAATGTATATTTTGTTATTTGTTGGGTGGAATGTTCTATAGGTGTGGTGCAGTGAATTACTTAACATGGCCCTTCTAGCCATAGTCTTTGTGACTACCACACAGTGATTGAGTTGTTGTTGTTTTTAGGTGTCGTCCCGTCAGTTTGGACTCATAGCGACCCTATGCACAACAGAAGGAAACACTGCCCAGTCCTGTGCCATCCTCACAATTGTTGCTATGCTTGAGCCCATTGTTGCAGCCACTGTGTCCATCCATCTCATTGAGAGTCTTCCTCTTTTTTGATGATCCTCTACTTTACCAAGCATGTTGTCCTTCTCCAGGGACTGATCCCTCCTGATACGATGTCCAAAGTATGTGAGACTTAGTCTCACCATCCTTGCTTCTAAGGAGCATTCTAATTGTACTTCTTCCAAGGCAGATTTGTTCGTTCTTCTGGCAATCAATGGTATATTTAATATTCTTTGCCAACACCACAATTCAAAGGCATCAATTCTTCTTCAGTCTTCCTTATTCACTGTCCAGCTTTTGCATGCATATAAGGTGACTGAAAACACCATGGCCTGGGTCAGGCACACCTTAGTCCTTTCTCCAGGTGACATCTTTGCTTTTCAACACTTTAAAGAGGTCTTTTGCAGCAGATTTGCCCAGTGCAAAGCATCTTTTGATTTTTTGACTGCTGCTTCCATGGGTGTTGATCGTGGATCCAAGTAAAATGAAATCCTTGAAAACTTCAATCTTTTCTCCGTTTATCATGATGTTGCCTATTGGCCCAGTTGTGAGGATTTTTGTTGAGGTGTAATCCATAGTGAAGGCTGTGGTCTTTGATCTCCATCAGTAACTGCTTCAAGTCCTCTTCACTTTCAGCAAGCAAGGTTGCGTCATCTGCATAACGCAATCTTCTTCAAATCCTAATGCCCAGTTCTTATTCATATAGTCCAGCTTCTCAGATTATTTGCTCAGCATACAGATTGAATAGGTACAGTGAAAGGATACAACCCTGATGCATACCTTTCCTGACTTTACACCATGCAGTATCCCCTTGTTCTGTTTGAACAACTGCCTCTTGATCCATGTACAGGTTCCTCATGAGCACAATAAAGTGTTCTGGAATTCCCATTCTTCATGATGTTATCATAATTTGTTATGATCCACAGTCAAATGCCTTTGCATAATCAATAAAACACAAGTAAACATCTTTCTGGTATTCTCTGCTTTCAGTCAGGACCCATCTGACATCAGCAGTGATATCCTTGGTTCCATATCCTCTTCTGAATCTGACTTGAATTTCTGGCAGTTCTCTGTCGACATACTGCTGCAGCTGCTTTTGAATGATCTTCAGCAAAATTTTACTTATGTATGACATTAATGATATTGTTCAATAATTTATGCATTAGGTTGGATCATCTTTCTTGGGAATAGGCATAAATATGGATCTCTTCCAGCTGGTTGGCCAAGTAGCTATCGTCCAGATTTCTTGGCAGAGACAAGCGAGCACTTCCAGTGCTGCATCCGTTTGTTGAAGCATCTCAATTGGTATTCTGTCAATTCCTGGAGACTTGTTTTTTGCCAATGCCTTCAGTCCAGCTTGGATTTCTTCCTTCAGTACTGTTGGTTCCCAATCATATGCTACCTCCTGAAATGGTTGAACATTGACCAATTCTTTTTGGTATAGTGACTCTGTGTATTCTTTCCAACTTCTTTTGATGCTTCCTGTGTCATTTAATATTTTCGCCATAGAATCCTTCAGTATTGCAACTGAAGCCTTCAATTTTTTCTTCAGTTCTTTCAGCTTAAGAAATTCTGAGGGTGTCCTTCACTTTTGGTTTTCTATCTCCAGGTCTTTGCCTGTGCCACCATAATACTTTACTTTGTCTTCTCAAGCCACCCTTTGAAATCTTCTGTTTAGCTGCTTTACTTTATCATTTTTTCCTTTTGCTTTAGCTACTCGATGTTCAAGAGCAAGTTTCAGAGTCTCTTCTGACATCCACTTTGGTCTTTTCTTTCTCTTCTGTCTTTTTAATGCTGTCTTTTCTTGCTTTCTTCATGTATCATGTTCTTGATGTCATTCCACAACTCATCTAGTCTTCAGGCATTAGTGTTCAATGCATTGTACTTTGGCTCTCGTGGACTTGTTCTAATTTTCTTCAGTTTCAACTTAAACTTGCATATGAACAATTGATGGTCTAATCCACAGTTGGCCCCTGGCCTTGTTCTGACTGATGATATTGAGCTTTTCCATTGTCTCTTTCCACAGATGTAGTTGATTTGATTCCTGTGTATTCCATCCGGTGAGGTCCGTGTGTATAGTCGCCATTTATGTTGGTGAAAAAGGTATTTGCAATGAAGAAATCATTGGGATTTCAAAATTCTATCATGTGATCTCCAGCATCATTTCTATCACCAAGGCCGTATTTTCCAACTACTGATCCTTCTTTGCTTTGAACTTTCACATTCCAATCACCAGTAATTATCA